CTCCCTTCAACGACTGACACTCTTCGCTGTGCTCATTCTGCACCCATGCACCAGCAAACACCCCAAACTCTAGAAAAGCCTGTAACCCTAAACCCCAAACCCTGAATCGTCGTCGACCGGGTTCTGCCTCACTCTGACGCGGTCAAATCCCGACAGCCTGAGAGTCCACGCCCTCAGGGGCAAAGCTACGCCACTCGCGGGTGTCGTCGAAACAATGGTCCTGTAGCTAGGCAAGTAGATGTTGGCAGCAGGCGAGTTCGGGAAGGCTGTATTCAATACCACAAGCTGTTTGTGAGTAATACTGTGCAAAATCTTGTGCTCACAAGCTTGTGCTAGCATTGCTGCTTCTACTGCGGTCATGTTCTCATCGCTGTTGCGACATACGGTGTAAGGTCGAAGTCATGACAGGAGCAGCTGAGGGGCGGCCTTTTCCCAAATGAACCGCGGCGTTAAGACTCCCAAATCAAAGGCATAACAAATCTGGTTGCCCGAAGCTGCATCGGAGACGTGTTTTTCATGCGTGGTTTCTGTCCAAACCGCATCTAAGAAGTCATCACAGTCCAGTCTTTCCCTTGTAACCACGCCTCCAGTGTCACGTCTTGTCCAGTGATTTGACTTCACAAAGGCTAGATGTCTCGACATGGAATAAGACTATGCTTTGTGGAGGCTTGCCGCAAGGCACAGCGAGATTTCTACCTCTCGGGCAAGATTAAGTCAGATTGAACGATGCCAGGTCATAGATCGGAAAATGTGGTTTGGTGTGGTTCGAAGCTTAACCCCAGAAAGATGTGCATTTCCTCGGCAAGATGCGAGTTAACCCCTCGTTACGAAGCTACGTCTCGATGCTTTTGAATTTGTCGTATTTACGTTGGAGCCCCCGGGGCTGCATCTTTCGAATCTTCTGGCTTACAGTAATAATATAGGGTCGAAAACGCAAAAGTTGGGTTGAGATTGTGCTGCGATGCATTTCTACCAAGACCTGAGTGAAACTGCAGAACAGATCAGAACACATGACTCCGACCCTGGAGAGTATGGAGTACCGTTGCAGATGTCAGCGTCATCATAACTTCCTTGTTTCTTGCGAGTACATATCATGATTCACGTTACTACGCTTGCCACGGGTGTTCTTGAGAGTAGGCCCGTTGCTACTAGAGGCAACCAGGCCTGGAAAGAAGCTTCAGGGCGCTGCCTTTTCAAGCCTTCGCCCCTGTGTCTATGATGACAGCCAGCAGGCAAGAAATGGCAATGGACCCTAAACCCTACACCGCATTCAACATTCGGGTTAAGGAGATTGCAGCAATGATCACGAACTCGATAACCCCGAGCAAAATCTGAACCCGAAGACCCTAACGACTACTGCGAGACCCCTCCCGCCTCCAAGACGAGGCCGCATCCTGTTCTGAAGGGCTTAGGTTCTTGGGGGCTTAGGTGAAAGCTCAGGATTTGAGAGCTTGGGCTCACTCGGACATACGTCGGTCTTCGTCAGCCTTCAGGGCAGGTTGGGATCAAGCTAACCCGTAGAAGCCACCAAAGTTTGCCAACGCTTCAGTCCGGCGTGGCGATAACCGCGATCCGATCAACAAGTGTTTGAGGACATCCAAACCCCCAGAAAGTTCAGCGGCATTGGGTGACGAGTGACTCATATCCCATTAGTCGAAAACTAAAGGTCAGAGGTTTGAGGTTTGACCAAGATCCCACTGTAGGACAAATATTTGCGACGTTGGTATGATCAACTGATCAACAGCTACCCACATGGGCATTGTATATGCAGAGCAGCAAAACGAGCCGTGCCATGGGTTGCAGACAGCAGTCGCTTTGGGACGCCGTGCACAGTGGCATTGGCGGAAGGCGTGTGGCACAATCAACTTCTTGGCGATTGAAATCCCCGACTTGCAAGGCAACATCTGTAAGCTTTGACATACATCTTTAGAGTGACTGAGAATGCTGGGTGCAGTCATGAGTCTGCACAAGCTCCAAGAGATCCTGGGTACTGTATGCGTGATACCTACATGCAAGATTACGCTCAAGGGGCGCAGCTGCTTTTCTGGTTTCGGGTTGAGGCTTTGGCTTAAGGTCCGAGTTCTCGGCTTCAAAAACCTGCCTGTTGAGGCTGGGGCTGGGGATTTGCATGAATGAACGTACCAATAAGACTTACAGCAAGCCTTAAAAAGGCTGGGGAAGGTTTAAGGACGATCATAGCTGATATTTTCTGAAATTTACGTTACAGGGATGAGGATCATCATATGCCAGCCTTCTGGTTGCAAATAAGACCGAGGGATTGGGGCTGGGGCTTCCGAGGCTGAAAGCACGGAATCGCGCTAGCCAGAAATATCGACGAACAAGCATGACAAGCTTCCGTACCACGCAGACGATGCTTGCAAGAGTATGTCTTCAGATCTCGCGTTGCAGCATCTTACACTCCACACATCGCTTAACTCTCCGGTTTGCTGGATGTCTGTTTTCCGCTGCCCATGACCTTTAATGGTTTCTTCGTCACCCTTGCTCTTATTGGTGACCTTCCACGTCCTCCGAAGACTCATGGTTCAGAATTCTTCCCGTGGTGTAAGGTTCAGGGTTTAGGGACTTGTGATTTGGGGCAACTTTGTGGGAAGCCACTTTTGATTCGATCGGAAAGCAGACGCTCGGATCTCAGATCTCGGTAAACCTTCATCACCACATGGGTAGGTCTCTAAATTAGGGTCCCTTTTGGGGGTTCTTTTTACAAGGGTGCCATACTATATCGGTGACCCAAAAAGGGACCTTAATTTCGAGAACTACATCCGCCGGATTAAGGAGCCTTAGCAGGCCCTCTGAATTTGATTCTTTGCGACTCCGCACCCCGAACTTCCAAGAAAGCCGCGCTGCAGCTACAAGTTCCGGCCTGTGCAGATGAGGGTGCCCTGAGAAGCATCGACCTTGACCTGCCACTGCGAAAGTTTAGGGGATTACTGGGAGTTGGGGTTTAGGGTTTAGGGTTTAGGGTGTAGGGTTTAGGGTTTAGGGTTTAGGGTGCGATGGAATTATGGCATGATGGGGAGGGCCGAGTAGGGTTCGCGCTTTGCGCAGGCCGGAAAAGAAAACAAATGCCCTCACCCAGTGCAGGAAGAGCGTGAAATTACACACCTGCGTGGGAACCTTTCATCTCAAACATCAAAATCACCAAAGCTTCACGCTCCGCTGCAAAGGCACTACTCTACGACAGCCCGCTACAGATTCGTGTGAGGGATCTATACAGCACTCCGAAGTCCGAGCCCAGGAACATGGAGCCTCCTGGACCACCACCACAACCACTGCTCCAAGCCTTAACCCTAAATGCTCTAAATCCTTAGGACCTCACCCAAATCCCACGACCCCAGAAACCTCAACCCAACCCGAATCCCACGACTCTAAAGGCCTAAAGGCCTAGAAAGATAGCTCCCGCGAAATCCACAAACCCTAAACCCGAAATCCACCAAAAAAACCCCAATCTGGCGCTTGGGGGCCTCGGCACGGCCCTTGCAATATTTGCAGGCCTTGCTTGGATCGATTGAGATGTCAGTCATCTGACCTGGGAGGATTGGGGCCTTTGAGTGTCAAGGGCGTCGTTTGACTTGGTGCTTTCAGAATGGGTTTTGGCGTGCTTTTTTGTATTTCCGGCTGCAGCAAGAATCCCCTGCTGCGAATTCTGTGTGCTCGAAGATGCGGGCTTGATGCTTCAGGGGGCTACAAAGATGTTCGAGCTCCGTCGTCTTACCCGTGTTGTGATCTCCACGCATTCTGGTTTCACGCGTGACCCCTGAACCCCAAACCCCGAAAGCCTCAACTCTCTTGCGATGAAGCAGAAGGTACAGCGTTTCAACCTGCCCGGACCCCACCTTCGGTCTTTGACCCGTAAGTACACAGCGTGCACAGAACTGAAAAAACAACGAACAAAGAGGCACAACACTGGCACCCACAGCCCGAGCTTCGATCAACCGATGATCCACAAGACTCTCACGAAGTCGACACCGCCCCTTAGCCCTGGGGCTCCGGCACGAGCCAGAAGGAGAAAGGGCTCAACCCCCATGCCCGCTAGGAAAAAGGGGGGGCTCCAATGGGCTTACAGTTGGGGGGGTAGGGGTTGGCTCGGCTAGAGGCAAGACTGCCGGAAGTGGCCTCTGCGCGGTTCATGACGCTCGGCTCAGATCATGTATAGGTCGAAGGACGGCTTAGTGTCAAGTCATGTGCTGGCATGATCAGGAAGACAGTCTATGTCGACGTGCTTGATTCTGATTCCTGCTCAAGGGTGCCAAGACATATGGTGCTTGCACGCATCTTGTGGGCTGGGCTGCCGTCTTGGCCGTCAGTGGGGTGTGAGAAGTTGTGGGGTCTTTCAGCAGTGCGAAAAGTGATGATAAGACTAGCGTTTATACACTAATGCTGTTGGTACTGGTACTACATCATTCTTACCGTCATTAGCATAACCGCGGACCGTCGTTTCATCTCCGGACACACCGGACTCCTGCTGCTTGTGCCAAACGCTTCCACCAAGCAACTGCTGAGTAGACTGTCAGTCGGCAGCACTGAAGACCACCGTGACGAGACACGGGCGCTGAGCGCACTAGCAGGGCTCCAGGGAAGCCACAAGGCAGGGCAGATTGAAGCTACACGCAACATGCCGAACTTTCCTGCCTGCACTGTCCTCAAGCACCCTATACTTTCCAAACGCCGCATGATGAGGATCCCCAAAAAACTCCCAGCGAGACCGTACGCATGCGCAAATATGTCTGTAGGCTCAAGATCGCACGGGCCGGATCCAGAGTTCGGAATTGGGACTCACACAAAAACCCTTGGTCCCTCAGTTAGCTCCTGGCCACAGCTCTCCAAACAGGCAGACACCAAGGCCTTGAACTCTAAACGCCAGTCCTAGATGCCGAGACCTGGGACCGCAGACCCTCGACCGAAAATTCAAAGCTGTAAAACCTTCAATAGGGGCCTTTTCTTTCTTTCTTTCCGTGAGGCTAAAGGTCCGAAGGACGTGCCTACTGCAAGACAACGAATTCACATGTGAAACACAGCGAAAAAGCATCTTCCTCAGCGAACTCTCCCTGCAGCTGCAAAAGCCAATCGGAAAAGGGCCGCAAGTCGCAAGCATTGACCGGGTAGGCGAGACGCACTGGTATGCCGGTCATGGCGAGCTGGACGAGCCGTCCGGATAGGCAAAAGACCCACTCAATCCATTGTCGCACCCCACGAAGGAGGTGTACAGGGCAGGCACTAGGCTGAAGGAGGGGCCGGAGAGCAGAGGGAGGAGCCGGAAAGGAGATGCAGAAACCCGATGCATCTGGGAGTGAGCCAGGCCGGAGATCGTCAACAGCAATCTCAACAGGAGGGCGCATATCTAGACCCCAGTTTTGGATCCATGCGCTGTCGAGGCGGCCGCTCCAGCAGACGGGCTTCAAGGGGTGCAATCCCGCAAATCGAGCAGGAGTTATGTAAGGACGAAGCGTTCCTGTGTCAGAAGGATTCTCAGCCTCATCTGCTTTACCAGCAACCTTATCGCAGAGATGCTCAGGCCGGAGAATCAACAAGACGTCCGAACATGCGGAGGCAAGCACAGGATTTGACACCGTCATCCGCCATTCCTCAAGTGTGCAGCGAAGGACAGGAAGAGGTGCAATGCATGCTGCGACCAGATCATAGAGCTCCTGGTCGGTTGCCTGGGTAAGTGGTCGAAGGGCGCTCTGCAGTTCGGGACATATTTCGGGACCCGGTTCGCTCGAGGCCCTAATCCCGGGACCCGGTTCAGCCGGCGTTTGCACATGTGCAGTAGAAGTGTCGACCGCATACAAAAGGTCCGGCTCGGAGGGGTGCATAAGGATGCGCAAGCATTTATTGGAATGCTTCAAGTGCAGACAGAGCTTGGCAGGGGTGGCCAACCGCAGCCCGCAGGCCTGGCAGCAACGTCCGCGGGCTAGTCTTTGGGCGGGATGATGATATGAATGCGCACGATGTGCATGGGCCCCCCAGGCCTGTCTAGTCCGAAAGGCCAGCTTGCACGGGAGGCATGCATGGACACAGTCAAGCAAGCCAGGAACGTCCGAAGGAGGAGTCGGCGGCCATACCGTTCGGCCAAAAGTCTCGCACGCAGCACGAATCCGACAGATCTCAATATGCCAGAGCTCGGCCCGTTTGAGGAGGCCCTTGAATCGTCCTGGAGCCGAGAGCATCATGGCCTCCCATTGGGGCCAGCAAGCAACAATACCCCCCAAGTCGGTACAGCCTCCGATGGCTTCGAGCAGCCAGTCCGCCGCAAGGCAGAGCCCTTGTGTGAAGGCAGCGAAACGTTGCATCAGAGCCCATGCAAAGTCCGGGCCTGAGCGCACCATAAGGAGCAAGAATCGAAGCCGTTCTGCGGAGAGCAGCGAACGAGGGCAAGGAAGCCCAGTACGGGACAAAATCTGTGACTCCGTGACCCGCCAAGCTTCAGCATGCAATCCAAGGAGCTGCCGGTAAAGACTAATGATCCCCCCTGAAAAAGCCTTCCATTCAGAAGGACGCAAGACAGGCCACGTGCCACACCCGGACAAAATCGCAGACAACACATGTGAACGGAAGAGGGCCGAGCGCTTGGAGATGTCAATGCGCTTGCACGCAAACAAACGCGGTTTCCCCTCCCGAAAGGCTGTGCGGCCTGCTGCCATTCTGTGCTTAATCTCAGAGAGCAAGCTACCATCCCATGAAAGAACCGAACCAAGGTGCTTGTAGGAGGTAACCAACTCCAAGTGTACCACCCCTGAATTTTCCGGCCAAACAGGTAGCTTTCCACGTAGGACCGTGAAGAGCTCACGACGGGCTTCGCGAGCGCCACGTCCGTGAACAGATACAATGGCGGCGGTTTTGGTTGGGCCGAGATTGGCTGTCAAACCATGTTCAGGGAGCACGTCGAGTGTTGCCGCAGCAACATCGCCAAGTGCCTTTCGCAGAGCTCCAGGCTCAGGGGCCGTGACAAAGGACGCCAGGTCGTCCGCAAACACAACGTCCTGGACGGCCAGCTGACAGGGGGCTCCACAAGGCTCCGCAGGGAAAGGACTACGAGTCCCTGTCCAAGTAACCGTAGGTGCGGTGTCCACCACAGTTTTCTGCGAGCGTCTGACTAGAACCCGGCCAAAAAGCAGGTTAAAAATTACGTCCGCGAGCGCGCCCCCAGGGCGCGTGCCCCTGTGGGTACGCACAAGTGTAGTGTCATTTGCTAACACAAACCACGTGTGACTATGCAATTCGCGGGCAAGCTCGACAAAGAGCGACGAGGAACCCTGCTCACACAGGACGGGTTGATCAGCAATGTGCGATTGCATGACCTGCAAGTCAGCGTCCGTAAGGCCCAGCGTGGCAGCTATGGAGCTGACGCTCCGGTCGCCGAGATCAGCGCCCAAAATGGTCTCCCGAACAACGCTGTAGTATGCCGCGGCAAGGTCGACGAAGAGGATGCTAGACGCTTGTCCAGCGGCGCGGGTGTAAGCCAAGAAGGCCCTGGAACAGAAATGTCCGAAGTGGGCCGAACAGCCTTTCCTCCCTCCAAGCTGAACTGGCAACGCATGGGGGAGCCATTGGGAAGTTGCTAAACCCCTGACCGACCTGTGGATAGCCTTCGAGATACATGACTGCACGAGGATGCCTCGATGGCCCGTACAGAAGTGTTGCAAGGCCGGGTTCGGCTTCGGAATGTGATGCAGAAGCCCACCTTTGAGTCCAACCGCTTCCGCAGCACAAAGAGTTGTTTTGAGCATGACGGGCCAAAAAAGCTGCGCCATGTCGGCACTAAAGAAATGGCAAAGTGCCGGCGGTAGCATGTCCGGGCCACAAGCTTTGGCAGCAGCAGTGGCACGGAATGACTGCGCAAGTGTTTCGATTGTAGGCACATCCTTGATCTCAACAAGGTCAGTTCCATTGAAAGCGGTGTGCCATGCCCTACAAGAAGCTGCTAGCGCGTCCGCAGAAGTCGGCACGCCATCTTCAAGGGCACTGAAATGCTCGCGCCAGGCAGTTTGGGCATCAGCAGCGGAACCACACACTGTTCCATTTTTGGTATAAAGCAGAGGCAGGGGATCGGCAGTGGTCCGGCGAAATCGTTTCGGCTTGAGAACCTTCTTTACTGAGCGGTGCAAGCTGCCTGCAGGGCTTTGTTGTATCTCATCAGCGACTGACACGAAGTAGGCCGCTCTGTCGGCCCGGCATTGATGGCGCAATGCCCCGCCCGCTCTATGAAGCAACAGGCAAGATAGGGCGAGTTTATGGCGGAGATCCCATAACCACTTACCAGTGAAAAGGGTACAGAAGCTGCCGCCCCCCGGCTTCCAGGCCAGGAAGGCGCACCGCACTCTAGTCCAGTCTAAGGCAACCTTGCGGGCTCGGATGCAGTGTCGAAGGGTACCTACGAGTTTATGTAGGGCCTGTGTGGTATCCGAAAGATGCAAGTTTCGCAAGCGCCGGCTAGACGCTGGAAAAAGACGTGCTAGACTGCGGTACAGGTGGTCGACCAGAACGGCGGCATGCTCGCTAACATCAACCTTCCAATCAGGTCTTGGTGTAGCATGAAGCACGGTCTGGACAGCATCTGCATTGTCTGGGTGAGAAAGCGCCGCAACGTCGATCTTGACTGGGCGTCGAGCCCGCAACTGTCTGGGGAACTTAAGGTTGGCGGAAAAGCAGGCAGCAAAGTGATCAATGCAAGCATGCCCTGTGGAAATCCCAGGGTCAACCCAGGCTTGGCATTCGCCCGCTCTCCAACTGAGCGGGACGCCCACGAAATCAGATCGGGCCAACGCACCGTTACGATGAAGGCACAGGGTGCCCCCATCGCCTCTCATGACTTCGGAAAAGGTAGCAGGGAACCAAAGGTCAAGCTCCAGAGCTAGAGCATGTAAGGCGGCCCCAGACAGATCCTCGGGGTCCGGCTGATGCGATCCGACTGCTCGGCTGGGGTTGTTGCCCAACCGACAATTGCCGTCAAGTAGGAAAAGCCATGGTTGGCCCTGGCTGAAGGCTCTGCAGAGCTTTCCGACTTTCTGCCACCAACTCGCGCGAGCCTCTTCGCTGTGGGCGCGATGGGGAGCATGACCGACAAGTACACGAACATTAGTCTGTCGGAACAGCATACTGGCGAGGAGTACGGTTGGCTCAGCATGCAGAACTGCTACAGTTCTGGGATGGAATGGGCTGTTGGAAGCCACCCACAATTCGACACCAAAGTTGACGTCAGTATCACAGCCAGATGCGAAGCGATGATATCGTTGGCATTTATACGTTCCCGGGGGTGTGCGGCATTCCTGGAGGCCAGCAAGATGCACGCCGCGAACTTCCAGAGCATTTGCCAACAGTGTGGTACGCCCGATCGCTCCATGCAGGCCGGCCGCTGGACCGGGAGCAACGCCACCCAACAGGGACAGCACGTTGTATGTAACAACGTGAATAGCCAGGGAGTCGGTATTATCCTCAGCTGCTGGGGGATCAGCTGGAACCGCGCGCAAGAAGGGTGCCATCAATGCGGCGGTCCCGATGAAACTGATCAGTCCGCCATGAAAGAAGGTCATTCTGGAGAGCAGGGAACTCTGCGGGCCTGTTTCTCGAAAGGCAAAGCTGGGGTAGCCATTGGCTGACAAATCCAGACTGCCGTAACCAAAGAGAGAGGTCAATCGAGAAAGGGAAGACCGAAGAACGGCCGGTAGACCCAAGGAAGGCCAATCCATCAGCCAACTCATTAGCACAATCCCCCGCGTGCCCATACACGTGCTGGAAGTGTATGGGGCGATCAGAAAGACCCCTGAGGGCTGTGAAGAAGCTACGGGCAACGACACAGAGGGGGTGGTCCCGCATGTAGGCCTTGCCAGCCACTCCGTCAAGCGCGGAAATGTTATCGGCTCGAAACAAAATAGCACACTGCCCGGGGAGCTGCAGACTAGCGACAGCCGCCCAGAAGAGGCCGCCAACCTCAGCAAGATAGGCGTCGAATGTCGCAGCGCCTGCTCTGCTGCCTGGTGAAAGGAAAGGCCGAAACATGTCCATGGACCCATAGATGCATCCAAGGAATGTGCCGGGAAGCTCATGAGTACTGGAGGATACTGCACTAAGGCATACAGCCCATCCTGCCTGTCCTGACTTGGCGCTGAAGGAGCCATCCGTGGTTAGAACCAAAATTTCCCCTGGGGCGGGAGAACGGCCTACCTGCCCTAAAGTAACCCATTCATCGAAGCGTGAAGCTTGGGGAACATCGCCCGGGGGTCCCTGCAGCGCCGCGAAAGGGCGAGTGTGCGTGAGACTGGCCAAATCCTGCATAGAGCAGGGCAATAGGCATTGACGGCCGTCGAGGTCGAAAAGCTCTGGTTCGGCATGTCCGGTCATATCGCGCTGCCTATCATCGGGTATCGGAAAGTCAATGAGTGCAGGCAGGCGCAGAACAACGCGAGTCGACGCATGATCGGTAAGATCAACAGAGGTGTGCCTGTTCGAGACAGTGGCTCGTCCAACACCGTCATTTCCGGGGTGTGCTTCGCCGAAAAGAGCAGTAAAATGCTCAACGAGAGCCTCTATCAAAGTAGCAGTAAGGTAGAATGCTGTGCAATCGGTACGTCCGGCTGCCTCTTCAAGCAGCGTTCTGTAATTCCCGGAACAAAAGCCCGAGTCGTCAGCAGCATACCACCCTTCGAGATTGGAATTGTCAGCCGCAACAGGAAGCCTGTGGATATGGTTGAGGCTTGTTCTGCAGGGAGTGGCCACCGGCCGAGATGGTGTGCGAACAGCTGTAATGCAATCAACGCCCGGGGCACAAGCTGGTGTTGCTGGTGATCCCATGGGGGGGAAAAGCTGCATGCCCGCAACCCCAACTCCATCGGGCCCGCCGAGAAACCCAATGCAGAACAAGGCCGGGATGAGGTAGCTGCTATGGCGGCCCGCAACTCGCGGGCATAAGCAGAAAAAACCACAAGTAGCAACAAGCTGGCCTGCAGCACGACAGGCAAATGCAGCATCAAGCAGGCCGAGGCATCCGCAAACGAAGGCGACAATGGTGAAGGCCTCAAATTGCACCGCACTCGGACCACAGAAGTTCCGAGCAGTAGACTCTTGGCGGACCGAATCAATGGCTGAGTCCCGCGGCTGCGAAGGACCAGAGGGATACGCTCCATTGTGGCTGTTTTCAACCGGTGGTTGGGGATCAGTGCGCCAAGCATGTAAAGAAACATCATATGGCGCGGGCGAAACCTGATCATCACCAGTAGCCGGATTCAAAGCCAACTCCGGGAAGTCATGTGAACCAAGGAAAGGACCTGTCCATCAGTGATGCGAAGCCAATCTCCGGTAGGAGGGCTAGGTTGCACGAGAACTGTCCATCCATGGGGAACACTCCATTCAAAACCCTCTTGTATCTGACGCACATTGATCCATCCATCATCGGACGGGAGCCTGCGCCACCCCCAAAGGAGTTGTCGACAATCCAGCAGGCCGGTAGGAAAGGGCTCTCTTCGAAAGCTCTGGCCGACAGCGACGACGGCTTGGCTGGGACGCCCGAAACAGGCGGCATCCTCCTGACGCGGGTCGGAAGGAGTCAGAACCAAGTGAAGGACATTGAGCTGAAAAAGAGCGGCAAGATCCGACCGATATTGAGTGGAACGGTGAGGGTGAAGGATGAAATTTCGGACCCGAACGTCCCCGACACTGCAATAACAGGGCTCAGCCGTGTCGAGTGGGAAGGGAGGGCCCTTCTCCCAAGCAAACGGAGAGGAAAGCATATGCGAAAGAGACACCGCCGGAGGAAGGGCATGTCCGACCGGCGCAAAACGGAAACATTGTCCCGTGCTGGGAAGGAATTCCTCGTCATCACCAAGGGCAACATTGTGGTCCGGCACAAAGACCGCAAGTGCCGAGGTGGCATGTAAACCCGCGGCAGCCAAGAGGGAAGCGCGGGTGACCCGTCGGGGAACCCAAGAAGCAAAAACCCGGCCGTCATGAGCGGAAAGGTCCAAGCAGACCACGGCGTCGCGTTGCAGCCAAGCTGGCGTCATAATCAGAACGGCCCACTTGAGGCTGGGCTGAGGCCACACGGGGACGAGTCGGGGAAAAACCCAAACCTTATCCCTATGCCTGCAAGTGTCAACAACCTCAAGTGCAGTCTCGACCCCTTGCGGGAGCAGCAACGCCACCTCGAGCACCTCCATCTGGTAATCGGGAGCAAGAATGACGAAGATTGTGTCGACAAGCACCGAGTCTTCCTGATCCTCGGTAGGAGGGACATCGCTGTCATCAAGAAGGGGGAACTGCGGGTCAGGAGGCATAAGAGGCCATTGGAATCCCAGCTGTTCAGTGGCCAACTGTGCATTCTCAACGGCTGTAACGGCCGAGGGAGCGCTGATCTTGCGCACTTTCATCGACGAAATAGGAGTCGTTCCCCGCGTGGAGGCAATTACTCCGAGGGGGGACAGACTGCTTTAGCCTTTCTCGATGTTTCCCAGGACAACAGTGGTCCGCGTCATTCCACACCGCCATCGGCAGGCTGTCGAGTAGCCATGTGGTGCCCAGAGTACAGTGAAGACGCTCTCCTACAGAGCACTCTCGGCCCCACCTCTGTCCTCCAGCCATCGACTTTCTTTGGCGGTTCTGGATTTATTCTTTCCCCTTCCTTTGTTCTGGGGCACAGTGACCTGCGTTCGTTCGCTTGCCAGGGGGCGCTGCTGATTACTGCTTTCGATTCCGGGCTACCTGGCTGTGCTCCGAACCAGGCCTATCAAGCTCTAGCTTGGGATGGCTCCCCAGACAATGCAACGTCTTTCCGGCTTTTACAAGAGCATGCCCATGCTAGTGTTGGGGCCTGAACCGGCCGCAGGGGGCCCCTCACCGTGGCTGGTGTGGTCACGCTCGTCGGGGCCTGGGCTATCTGGCGGGGGAGCCGACGCCTCCTCATCCAACATGTCCTCGACAAAAGCAATTTGAAGGACCTGTCCGTCGGCGATGACAAAGCAAACCTCATTGCCGTGGTGTGCTATGTCAGCCCCTGTGATAGAAACAAGGTACTCCGCCGGACAGATCGAGCTGAACCGATCAACAACCCGCTGGACGGGGTACCAAGGCTGGCAAACTATGAACCAGTCGAAACCTTGAAGAATACGCCTGGCATCGATGAAAACAATCAGCCTAGAGTCGATCTTCCTCGAAGGTGGGCAGAGCAATCGGCTGATGGCTTCGGTGGCAACGAGCACTCCACTTGCAAGGAAGCCGGAGGGAAGGCAATCCCTGACTGGCGGGCTGGCGGTTTTCAGCACAAGCTTGTGCTCCTCAATCTGTAAATGTGCAGCTAGGTCCTCTCGGAAGAAACCTCGCCTACCTGCCTTGACTTCGAACAGTGTCGGCTGAGCGTCAGTGAGAACCCAGAAGAACTGGCCAGGCACACAGCCGGGGCCTGGGATATCAGCTCTAGGGTCCCATGAGGAGCTGAGCTCCAGCTTAGTTTGCAGATCGAAAACAGCTGGAGCTCCACTGAAAGGTGGGAGCAGAGAGACCAATATGCCTGCCGTAAGGGTTATGGTCTGTCCGATCTGTAAAGGTCTGGAAAGGCCATGCACATAGACCTCAAGGTCAGCATCCGCGGGAAAGCCCGCCGCTAACAACAAGGACTCGCGATTGAGTCGGGGAAAGAGCAGGATTGCAAACAGCGACTTCCCGACTCGGCTACAGTCTATGAGGACGATAGGCCTCGTAATCTGCCAGTCCGGTGTGGCAATTGCAACAAGAGCATCTGACGAGGGCTGTGGCGTGACAGGGATCAGTTGCGGGAAGTGCATGCTCAGATCAGTATCCCTGTCTGCCTGAACCGCCTGCAAGAGTGTAGCGACACTGCAAGGGAGAGAGGCAAGAACATTGAGCATTTCGGGCGCCATTGCGGGGGCGTAGATGAAGGCTCGAACTTCTGTCAGACCGCTAGCAGAAGCCGCAGAATGATCTGAGGCAACCCTGGAGGGAGGAGGAACCTCCAGAGGAGCTGGAAAAGAATGCGGACCAGGAGGCGTGTCTTCAGCATGTCGGCGAGATTCGGGAGTCGGAATCGCGTCAGACACCCCTGGCATGTCGGCAGCTTCCCAAGCATCGGTAGAAGAACCTTGCCCGTGCGACCCTCCTAATGCATTATCGACCGGGGCCGCGTCCCAGCTGGGAGCATCTTGCGCGGTCCAAAAGGAGGCCTCATAGTCCGCCACAGCATTCCAGCTGTGCCCCGCCGGGGCTGAGGTATCGATGCTCTCCGCGGGAGCCATCGGCGGAGGTGCAGAATGCTGAGGTTGCATGGGTGCAGGAGGGGGCGGTCCTCGAAGCCTATCGCCGTCTTCCCTAGGCATAGGCCAAGCAGGGTGTCTAGGCCCGGGTGAACTGGAAGACGAGTCTGTATCAAGCTCCTCAGCATAGAAAAGGAGGATTGAGGAGCCCTGAATCGAAACATAATCACCTTTTCTACGACCTCCGTGAACTCCTATCCGACGGGCCTGCGGTAGCTCCACCCCATTATCAGACATGATGCTGGGGATATGGAGTTTGGGTACGTTGGAATGCACGCACGCAGGCTTCAGGCCCAAGGGGCGGAAGTCACACAGAGTGAAGTAGTCCTGCCGCTCGCGGGTAGCATCGGTATCAGCAAGCGGCGGCACATCAAACACTGCAACCAACTGCGGGCAGAAGTGTCCTTGGACGTCAAGGTCCGGTACGTGAAAGGTGCACATCGAGACCCGACCAGGAGACAGGTTCATACGAGCCATTACATGATCAACAATGGTCACCCCGTAGTGATGATGGGGTTGCACACAATAGCGCTCGTTCCGATAAAGGACACAAACACTGTGGTGCAGTTCCACATTGTGAAAATGATGCATGGGCCCCCATCGAGCCTTATCTTCCAGAGCTTCGGCTCTATGTTTGGCAAATGCCGTGTCCACATGGGGGACGGCAGTGACAACATCGCCATCGTTAAGGGTGACTAGTGCCTCTTTTGGCCATGGCCTGGAGCGGCAGCCTACGAAAAAACGAAGACTGTCCAAATCGGCATTTGTCAACGGCCCCAAAAAAGCAAGTAGTGCGGAATGCGACAAGGTACGAGGAAGCACCGTGGCAAAATAATGTCCGCCCACTCTGCTGAGATCCGCAACCACTGCGGCTTGTCCGTCTCCAACGTGGCGTATGAGGGAGGAGAACCGGATGACCGATAGGTAGTCACTAAAGCGCTGGGGCTGAAGGGGAACTACACTATCCATGACTCCGTCTGGGGTACCGGGCATGCAATCACAGATAACATCCAGCACCTTGCGAAGATCATCGTTTGGACCCGTAGGGACTGCAACAGCCTGGGGCTTATAGTAGGGAGTGTAGACATAGACCCCTAACATCTGTCGATCATCGCCCTCGGCAGTGCGAGACGGGGGCCACCGGGCATCATGCAAGCATAAGCTCTCCGCAGTCCTTCGGGCACGGTCCGCATCAAGCCAGGGAACCTCTGGGTATCCAGCCCCAACATGAAAGGTGAGCTCATCAGGATGCAGTGCATGCGGTGCACGGCTGGCAGCAGGCGGTGCATCCGGGTCAAGAGGTCGCGCCATTGCATGTGTTGAAGGAAGAGACATCAGCCAAACAGGCGCAAGGAACCTCAGGCCAAATGGGCCGCAATGACCTGGGATGCCGGAACAGCCCCAGAGGATACAGCAAAATGTGGCAAACATGTGGTGACAGCCACCTGCGGGGCGGTCCTTGCTGCGCCTCAAACCTCGTCTGCCATGCTTATTGCGCCAAACGCTCCAGTCGAGAATAGGGGACCCAACTGCACAGGAGCCTAATGGCAAGGCAACGGACCGAACAGGACCATCTGCTGCAGCAGTCCTCATGCTGCGCGGGCAGAAACGCAGAAGGGCACCTCGGCAAAGAAGGCCGCATAGCACAACCAGCACATTGAAGCTAAAGCTGCGGGCCATGGAGTGCAACAGCACAGCAGTAAGCTGATAAAAAAGACATAGACTGGTTGTGCCGCAGACGGGGTCGCTGTCCCAGAGCCACCGATACAGCTGTTTGGCACACCCGTCTGCTAAGCAAATGCTTGTGTCGGTGCCGGAAAATGGAAGGCTCGACCGGGAGCGCTTGTGAGAAAGCTCGTCCGGGAGCATGGCACAGGTACCCTTAGGGGTTAGGGGACTAAACCCTAAGCAAGGCCTAAAAAGGAGAGCATGGGTCATCCCAGGCCAGGCAGTTGTGAATCCAAGACATGTGGTCGTTGCCCCAGAGCGACCGATGCAACTGTTTCGCACACACATGTCAGGAAGGGTATTGGCAGCACAAAGAAGTGCACAAGGGAAGTGCTTGGGAAGACTCAAAGGCGGAGTCTGTGGCGAAGGGAACGGCACGCAATCACAAGCCCAGTGATTCGAGCCATTCCGCGAGGAGACAAGGCAATAGACGCACGGCTCAACCAGCAAAACAACTGGAGGCCGGGCGAAAAAGCCCGCGAAAAGGAGGCAACGCCGCAGGGGCACAGAAGTGCAGTGCAGAGAGAGCCAAAGCTGATAAAGACAAAAGGACCTAGTTGGACTCGCCAAGTCCATATATACATCCTGGAAAAGCCGAGAGCCGTGCTGTACAACCAAAAGAACAACATCGGCTTGCTCCAACCGAGAATAACCGAAGACAAGCAATCCGCCATCAGAGGGATACCTCCGAAAGCACGGCAGAAGCCGCGATTCGAAAGCACCATCGTCAGGGAGGATGCAGCCTCCAGTCCTTCTCGGGGAAGCAGGCGCTACCCGGGATGGTGTGCAGCATCCTGGCCACTGAGCTCGTCGTCGTCGTTCACGATGCGCACTGAGTGAAGGCCGGAGCCCCCTTGCAGAGTCGCCGCTGGATCCAAACCAGAGGAGACCATTCCTTCTGGAAATGCCTGGGCAGGTCGTCCCATGCCAAACGGCTCCAGGGCGCGCCGACGATGAAGGCGTTCCTGTAGGGTAGGGCTCTTTCCATATGCTTCGGGTGCAGCATCTGGTCCCGGCGGTGGCTCCGATGGTGGAGGAGTAGGTGCAACTGCCGGCCTCTCCGCGCTCGGCCGGATCATAGGTGGTTGACACGCATTTCCAGGGAGGCCTGTGCCAGGAGGCGTAGCCACCGGTGAAGGAACGTATGAGTACGGATCGAAGGCTGCCACTCCTGCATCGGCAGCAACAAGGCCCGGTGGACCGACAGCCCGCTCTTGGTGAGGTGTGCGTGGTGCCGCGGTTGTCGGTCTCGTGGGGGTAACCAGCGAAGCCCCCAGCGCGCGCCTGACCATGGCATCTGTTGCAGATGAGTCTTCTCTGGCCCATTCCGCAAAGACTGCCTCCACATCCGGGCCGCCGGACATATCCACGTCTCCGCTGGGGTGCACCGGTCGGGACTCCCCGACAAAAGCAGCTCTGAGCCCCATCCGCGCAAGCTCTTGTGCCTCCTCGGCCTCGAGGATTTCCTTGTCCAGCCGTTCCAGATCTCTTGAGAAGCGAGAACGCTCGCGGCGAAAGGCCTCCTTCATCTTGGCTTCGAACTCGCTCCACTTTACACCGGCGGCCTTGTGGGCCTCTCTGAGCTTCAACACCTTCTGCTCCGCCTTTCTTGTAACATTCAAAGCGGCTTGGATTGCAGGGGTGGTCGAACCACGAGGCAGCGAGAGGCCGCCATCGTTCTGCCCAGAAGCATTCGGTCTTTCTGAGGGAAGGTTGACCGATGCGTATGTAGGAAAGACTGGATCCGTTCGCGAGGCTCCCTGATTCCAGGGACGTTGCTTGTCCTTGGTACCACTGCCACCAGGCGAGTAGGCACCAGGCCAGACTCTGTATCCGCCTGAGTTCCATGGCTGTCCCTGCTGCTGTCCGTGCTTGTTGCCACGTCCCATACGTAGCGAGTAGACAAGGTTCGCAGCAGTTAGGGGGGCAGTGCCGTGATGGCGTGCCACGTCCAGAACTCTATGACGACCGGGATGCAGTCCGCGTCGAAGAAGGCTACGAGTGGTGGACCGCCGTTTCCGTCGACGCCGATGCCAGCCAGGGGACGATGGTATGGCGAGGCGTCAATCGCACCGTCTTCGGTGCTGGGGCAACAGCTATCGCCTCCTCACGGCGTATTCTGAGCCCTCAATAGGGGCCTTAATAATTAGAACAGGGTTTTGGGGGCTCCTTATTATTGTTAGTATGATTATTATGACTATTATAATAAGCACCGAAGCACCGCCTCCGCAATGGTCATCTCTGCTGCTTACTTCCTGCAGGGAAGTCCGCAGAGACGCCTCATGAACATGCAGCACACTGATCCCAGCAGACAAGGGTCGGGCTTTGCATGTATGGACTATCCCGCACTCCCTACACCCTCCATTCCCTCAAGACAATAAACCCCTAAACCCCTAAGCCCTAAACCCCTAAACCGCCTAAACCGCCTAAACCGCCTAAACCGCCTAAACCGCCTAAAACCCTAAA